CAGAGAGTAACAAATTGGTGTCAGAGAGTGGGACGAAAAAAAAACAAGAAGAAGAAGATGGAAGCGAGAGGTGGCAAATAAAACAACAGCTTAGCAGATTTGATGGAAGCAATACAAGAACAGCAAAAGAAACAAGAAGAGAGACTACAGTAGTGGTTGGAGGAGAAAGAAAATAAACAAACAGAGAGGCTACAGCAGTGGTTGGAGGAGAAAGAAAATAAAAAAGAAGAGAGACTACAGTGGTGGATGGAAGAGAAAAAAAATAAACAAGAAGAAAGTCTCCAACAACTGAGAGAAAGCCAGAGTACACAAATGGAAAACATTATTAAATTTCAAAGCGAATTAAATACATTAAAGAATGGTTTACTGTCTTTGACACAAGGAGGATATATTAGCCATCGACCTAATCAACCTCAAACAATGGGAAGCCTATTCCAGACCCCGCTGCTAAACCCTAATGCAGACATCTTCAGTCCTGTTAGAAGTCACATCCCAGATATGAATGTCAACAATAGGGGTGATCTAGTACGAAAGAAGCCATAGGAATTCATTTGGAAGGCACCGTGGGAAGCATATAGAGCACAAGTTGAGCTTCTGGCAGAAATGAATGGATGGGTAGAGGAGCAGAAAGCAGTATATCTGGCAATGAGCTTGAAGAGACAACCACTGGAAATACTTGGACAGTTGTCAGCAGACGACAGGCACAACTATAGAGCACTCGTGGCTGCTCTAAAACTCAGGTTTGGAACCTAAATTCAGTCCAAAGTCTACAGGGCTAGGTTTAGGACGAGAGTCCGTGATAAAGGGGAGAGCCTGCAAGAGCTGGCACAGGACTTGGAAAGTATGGCACACAAGGCCTACCCAACTGCGCCACCCGATCTCCTCAAGTTGTTGCTGAGGAATCAGTTTGTAGATGCCTTGGACAGTCCACAACTGAAGATACAAATAAAGCAAGCACACCCCTCTACTATGCAGGATGCAATGGCCAGAGCTCTTGAATTTGAATCCTTTGCTAAGTCCAGCATAAAGGTATCAAGGTTGGTACAGTTATCATGCCATGCTGCGTTACGCTGGTTAAGATCATTAAAGAACCCAGAGGGA